CTTAGAATAAATAATAGATTTTTCAAACACAAAGATATTCACCGCTACACATGAATACAGAATACCCGTAACCTGAAAACTATTATTGACTATATGATAAGCAAACAAAAAACAAACATAGAGATAAACGACGTAAGAGTCCTAAGAGGAATAACTTGCGGGTCAGATCATTTGTTAGTAAGAGCCAAAATAAAGTTGCAATTTAGGAAAAGGAACAAGAACCCAGTGGAACAAAACACCAATGCCATACTAACGGACACAGTGGATACAACAAATTATAATTTTGACAGTTTTAGAGATGACAGCACTGTATTTCTATATCAGAAGCGACTCGATAGCAAACTATTGAACATTGAAGAATGTACCTTATTCAATAAACTCTATGAGAATATTATAAGGAGTCTAATAGAAGCCACCCAAGAAGCAAGAGGAACGAAGGAAGAAAATACCAACAAGAAATACTGGTGAAACGAGGAGATAGAGCTATTAGTCCAACAGAAGAAGCAAAAATATCTGAAATGGCTAACAACAAAAAATGAACAAGACCTTGAAGTTTATACAGGCACAAATAGACAACTAAGAACGTGCATCACTATAGCTAAGAACGAGTCATGGGATAAGAAATGTGAAGAAATTAACACCTACATAGGAGGAAGGAAATGCTCAGCGGTATGGAGATTTATATCAAATGTCAAAAACCCAGGAAAAGGCAGAGCTAATATCCAGATTATTAAACCGGAGCAATGGGTAGAACATTACAAGGGTCTATTACGAGAAAGTAGACCGGAATATATATTAGATTCTCCAAGACATATTGAAGTACATGGAGAAGTAGTTGAGATATCTGAAGAAACAGTAAAAAAGACTGTTAAGAATCTTAAGTCAGGTAAAGCTAGCGGACCAGAAGGGATATACTCGCAAATGCTGAAATGGGGAACTGAAAAGCTCTTTAAAGGTCTCACATGTATTATCAATAAATGCCTAAATGGACATCATGTTCCACAAGACTGGAAAACGGCTTTTATGTCATCCATTCACAAAAAAGGAAATAAGCTGGATTCCAATAACTATCGGGGCATATCAGTCACAAGCACACTAAGCCCGGTATTCATAGACGGGTGCTTGGCTCAAGCTCCGATTTTTGACAGTTGTGAGCATCGTTCCGTGTTGTTTGGAATAGCAGATATGGCGTCAAGTCGTACTTGAGCCAAGACGCAACCTTGAGCATCGACTATGAATACGGGCCTAAGCAGACTATAGGGTAGAATCCTGCGTGATCTCCTTGAAGGAAGATTATAAAGAGCAAGAAGAAGAAAAGCAGTGCGGCTTTAGAGCAGGAAGATCAGGTACGGACAACATATTTTGCCTAAAACAAGTCATAGAAAAGAGATCTGCTAGATATGTGGAAAGCCACCTCATATTTGTTGACCTACAAAAAGCATACGATACAGTCCCACATAAACATCAATCACAACTACATAACGGCACTTAAAGAACTATGTAAAGACTGAAAATCAAGAATTAAAATAGGTAAAAAACTTACAGATACATTTATAGTAAATAAAGGACTACGTCAAGGATGTTGTATCTCTCCTACGCTTTTTAAAATATACGTAGCAGTAGCACTGAAAAATTGGAAGAGGAAGATCCATGGAATGGGTATAGAGATAAATGATAGGTGCCTGTTTACTCTTCAGTTTGCAGATGATCAGGTCATAGTTGCCAGTGACAAAGAGGACATGCAATATATGATTAGAAAGCTGATAGAAGAGTATCAAGAATGGGGCCTGAGAGTTAATATAAATAAAACAAAATATCTATGTGTACGCAACCAGAACGGGAACTTGGAAGTGGACGATGGTCAGGAAATTCTGCAACGTCAAAAATATGAATATCTAGGTATCACATTCGACAACACCGGAACAGACGTGAAAGAAATAGACAAGCGAATAGTTAAAGCTAAAAAAGTAATAGGATGCCTAAATGGAATATCATGGAGCAAGGAAATTACAAAGAAGAGAAGATTTAATATATACAAGACAATGATAAAGAGCAGCCTTCTATATGGAGCCGAGACTTGGAGAATTACAAACAGGCAAAAGAAAAAAGTGGAAGCAGTTGAAATGGATGCTATTAGAAGATCCATGCGAATCTCACGAAGAGACAGAATAAGGCACGACAATATAAAACAACAAATGGGTATAGAAGGTACGATGATAGTCCAGGACATTGAAAAGAAACAACTTACCTGGTACGGACACGCAGAACGAATGCCAAATGACAGGTGGCCCAGAAAAATGCTGCATTGGCAACCAACAGGTAGAAGAAAACGAGGAAGACCAAAACTGGAATGGCAGAAGACCATACAAAAGTCCATGAGTGAAAGAAATCTCTCATCAGAGGATTGCGACGATAGAAGAGGATGGAAATTAGGTGTCGGACAACGAAGAAAGACGTTCTAAAACGACATGTATATATATATAGATATTTTTAGAGCAAGCCTGTATTGTTCGATTTTGTCAAATGCGTACATTTTTTCTAAGTGCATCTTATTTGTTGAACCATTCTTTAGCATAAATCTATAGGTGAAAAAATTATTCCTAGTAGATTTGAGAAGGTAAGGAACATCAAATAAATATAGAATCTGTCTACCATCAACGGAAAAGCATGGACAATCTGCTGTAAGCTCCAAAGTAGTTTTCACGAGCTTGTGAAAGTTGGAACCTTGATCAGAAACTACACCTAAAACATCTAGGCCAGTTGCGTTCAACTTTCTGAGCTTTCAGAAAAGAATAGGATTCGGCGGGGTACCAAATTTTCTGATAAGAATTTCTCAACATCTTCCAATGGTATTCCAGCTTGAAGTATTTTCTTCGATTGCGTTGCTTCTTTCTCAAGAGTGCTAATTCTATTTCTCAATGCTGCTTTTCTCGGAGTACCGGTTGGAAGCTTCTGCGATGTTTGGCAGCCCTCTCCTACAAAAAAAATAGATTAAAATCACTGTAGTGATATCTAGATAGATTTTTAAAAAAAATCACTTGTAAATGAGTTTGATATTATTCTTTTACCTTTCCTAATAATAGACTCTGAACAAATTCATCCATTTTACTACAGGAATTTGTTTGGATCTGCGCATCTTTGAGTTCCGTACTATTTCATTCATTCTTTCCGGGGCATATTGGTAGAAATTTTAATAAGTATTGATCTATATTTTATATCTTAACACTAAAGCGTGAATATGCGAAATGCAAACTTTACATAATTAGTTTTTTTTTTTTTCAAATTTCCTTGCATATTTACATTAGAGTGCGTATTTGCATTTCGCTTGGCATTTGTACCTAGCTACTAGAGACTGGAAAAAAAATTTAATTAGGACCACCCTTCTTAGTAATTTGAATAATATAGGGGATTAAATTAAAATTAGGTATGTACCTACCTATGAAACTTAAGCACATTGGCCTGGAAAACCCAATAGGCGTCAATTTCTTTGTTTGAGACCAAAACACTGTAGGAACTGCATTGTAAGTGAGTCATTGTTTTGAACCTGGAAAGCCATCCTCCGTAAAATGCAGACTACAAACTCTTATTCGAGCATAGCATTCTTCTGGACTAATATTAGCAAAACGCTGGTTCCCAATAAACCCTAATTGACTTCTCCATATTTCGGATCTGTAAGCAAAAGGGACATTTTATTTTACGTTCTTTAATTCCTATAATTCATAGCCCTGTTTCAACAGACATGAACCGGTCTAGAGCGGTAATTTCCAGTCGATCAATTCATATGGCAATTAGAATTTACGTTCAAGTTATTGAAAAATAGGTGGGTGACTGGAAATTGCTGGCTCTGGAACGGTTCTCATGTCTGTTGGAACAGAGCTAGTAATCAATTGAAAAACACGACATGAAAAAGGTTATTTTGCATTTGCGGAATTTGGCGATTGCGTGTGGAAACATGCTATTTTCTAAACTTGTTAGAAACACAATTTATTCTACAAGCGTACGAAAAAAATCCTTTTGCGCACGCACGGAACAATTACTCTTGCCGCATGCTTGTAGGAAAAAGAATTATCGCAGAGCGATTGTTTCCAAAAATATGCCAAAATACGATTGTAAGTTCGCTGGAAGCTTTAAAAAAATTGAGACTGGCGAAATTTTTCCATTTTGCATTTGTGAATAATAATTTAAAATAAAATTTATTTTTACCTTTGTGGATCTTTCGGACAACGAAAAGACGATAAACCACTATCCTGTTTATTAATACAACTATCCACTGCACAAAACACCACTTTCATAAAGAAAACTAAACAATAGGTACCTATTTCACGAAAATACTGCCTATTTAACCAGACCACCGGGTATAACAATCTGACTAATCTGACTACAATAATTCACAACGCGGGTTGAGGGCACTCTCTAGGCGACTTTGAGACACTTTTAAAGATGAGCCAGAGCCAGAGCCAAGAAGGACGCGGGGCGGTTTTCGTTGAGTGAGGCAACTTAAACTTTGGCTCTGGCGACCGCTGTGGACTGATGGAACTATAGCTCATTGGACACCGATGTCCGCGCTGACCGCGCTGGCGCTGAATGTGTTACTCCATCCAATCCATCTTTTGCGTGCACCCTGTATATATAAAAGTTGTAATGTCTAGCCTTGTTTCTAGCGGTTCTCGTAAATCCTTATTTACTTCGTATTTATAGTTTTTTTTTCTATCCGGCTTCGAGTGCGAGCTACAAGTTGTCAAAATTGACGAAACAACCCTCTACAAAAAATGTTGTTTGTATTTCGTGTGCGAAATTTGTGTTCAATGGCACCTTCGAATACATTTTTGGAAAATAAATATTGTAACTCTCCGGTGACATTAAAAAAACACTAATTTTGCGCATCTAATAGAAAAATAACCAGAAAAATAATAGTTTTTGTTGCAACGTGCTAAATAAAGGATTTCATTACTATATTGTATAAGCAAATCAACTAAACTATTGCAAAGTATTCATATTACCTTTCCAGCTTCCGAGAATTTGTCCATCAGCATCCTTTCAGTAACATCGCTATGTAGATTGAAGATCTGAAGCTCACACATATTTTACTTGGTTTATAACTAACTTTTTCAGTGTTTTCGGGGTTGTCGATTATTCACACATTCAAATAGGGGGACGGAAAAGCGACTTGGATAAAATTGTGCGACTTTGCCAAACTTTCTGCAAATGTTTTTGTTAATAAAACTTGACAGCATCTCTATTTTAGCAAGCGAAAAATAAAAGATGGCGGCTGCAATGCATTCGTACGTTGTCAACAATTTTCGATTATAAACAAAGAGAAGGATAGCTTGGTTAATTAAAGTGAATGTGTCAAACCCAGCGGTCAAGGGTCGTCATCGCAGATGCTCTGGTTAGGAACCAATTTTGAAGCAGTGTTGATTGAGACGGAATTCTCTCACCTTACCAGACCTCAGAAACTTCCATTTTCACCAAAAATTCTCTCTTTGTAATTATTTTGACAAAAAAAACTAGAATTATAAGTAATGGGTATACAGCAAAACCTAAAATTTGCTATTTTAGCAATAATTTTTTTCTACTCGATATATTCGTTTTATTTTGGGAATTACTTACTTATTCAAATATGTATTTATTCTTGCCTGAGGTAAGAAGTTGATATGCAAAATAAAAAAAAAATGGAAATAGAAACGAGCAAAAATGCAAGAACAAAAATTAGAGATGCATCTGTAGTGTCACAAACTGCTTATGAACTAAAAATTTTGTTGAAGAAAAGGAACTGAGTTGCACGTACGATTCGAAAAAAACTAAGTTAGAATCTTACCTGCCTTTTAACCACTGATCTAAAAAATAAATGGATAAACAATCATACAGCTTGATTGGCAAAATTTGTGCGAAAATTTGGGGTCAATATTCTACGAACAGTTGTGTAACGGAACAGCCTAAAGCCTAGTACTCATAACTGCGAAATTCGCATTTTTTGACATTGCTTCAACAATTTGACGTTTGATACACGCATAAAACGTCAAATTGTCAACGCAATGTCAAAAAAATGCGAATTTCGCAGTTATGAGTACTAGGCTTAACGCCTGCGCAGTGTCTTTTCTTTCGAACAACTGTTCTAAATTTTGAAATTCCTTCATTTTCATTGGCCAGATTTTGTGCACGCATAGTACATGTATCTACTGCGCACGCTCACAGCTGTCCGAGTCAGTTATTTTTGTTTAGATTATGACCTCGTAAATTAGCAGCATTCGAAGCGTTCTTTATTTATCCATTTATTTTTGAGATCAGTGCTTTTAACCCCTGCTAAAACAAACGTATTTTCGACTCGAGATATAAGTTGCGGCAAATTTGACAACTATGACAATCCAACGTAAATATAGAATTGCGCGTACGAAGCTACAGTGACTAAATAAACCTTTACATACAGTTGCGACAATAGAGGTCTCGCTGCCACATTCTGCTTTTCTTCTTCCTAAATTTAAATATGCATTTATCGGATTTAAATGGACATCATAGAAAACTGAAATTAACGTATTTGATGTTTATTATTAGGTAAGTACATCAAATACGTTGTTTTCAATTCTTTATGATGATGGATCTCGATTCAAATGCTATATTCATATTTAAAATCAGCAAGAAGCAAGGAAGAATATGGCGGCGTTTTCATTATGAATATATAGGATTTTAAAGAACCAATCAAAAATAGGACGGCAATTATTGTTGCCACTAGGGTTTAATAGGGTCATTGTAGATCAAACAATTATAGCGAATTCCATTGGCAGAACCAGTGCAGAAAAAATGTATTTTTATCTCTTCCATATACAAGCTGGTAGAAAAAGACACGAATACACTCAGTGCGCACTAACCCTTCCAATGGAATTCGTTATAGCTCACGGAACTTAAGGATTATACACACTACCAAGGATTGCTTATCGGCCTCGTTTTTGGTAATCGCCGTCATATTGGTGTGTCACCATTTCCGACGTCATTTATAAGTCTTCAGCTGTTTGCACTACCGGTCGTAGTTTGGAAATCAAATTTAGGGAAAAAATTATTATTTAATTTTTATTAACATAATAGGCAAAAAAGGAAGATTAAAACGAGATCCAAAAAAGAGTTGTTTTAGAATGTTGATAAAGTAAAACCAAGTATGCATGGCATAAGCCCGCGGAATCATAACCTGCAAACAGCCTACGCCAAGGCGAGAAAGGTCATGCTGCTATGTCACAACTGGTGATTTAACGCTATCCTACCACTAGGTAGCAGTGGCGGCTCGTAATAAAGGGCTCTGGGGCGCCGCCCTCCCTGCATTAAATGAAAAATGAATTATTTTTGTTTTTCTTGAAACCCCAAAAATACTTCATACAGAAAACCAATAAAACAATAATATGAAAATTGAAATTAATGAAATTCAAACCTTATGATATTCGGGCAAGTTATATCGAATGAGTAACGCATTTCGTTAGTTCTAGGAGGACTACGGGCTTTGCTACGGGCAACTTATGCCTGCCGAACGCGGGCCCTAGAAAATCCGTCCCGGCTAGTGCCACGATTTACGTGGGTTGCCATGGCGACGAACGTGTGACGTCACCCAAACATCGCGCTAGGCGGTGCATTTATTGGGCTCCAAATGTTCCGCCCGGAATCAGGAAATTTTCGCGCATTCAACGGTTGCCGGCGTTTATTCAACGTTTTGTTTTTGGATTAAGTTTTTTATCAGTTTTTTATTGGAATTCGGAAAGTTTGTTAATCTAATTTGCTAATATGAAGGTCAGTGAATTACAAAAACTCGTGTTTAGCTCTTTGAGTCTAAACGACAAACTTGACTTGAAAAATACTGGACGACCATTGCCAATATCGAATATTGTGCAGGTACAATCAAAATGTAAAAATAAGGTACAGTTTTCGCGAAAGTTTGACAAAGAAATATACAATAAAAATTCGTGGATAGTGGATATGTGTCAAAAACTGGCTAGTACCCTAGTACTCATGTTGCCCCCAAAATTTTGACCTTAAAATTTATATTTAGAGACTGACTTTATGATGAAAAATTTTTAAACATTTTTGTCTGAGCCCCCCCTCACATGATTGTCACGAGCCGCCACTGCTAGGTAGTGTGTATTATCCTTGCACGAAACTAACAATAAGCCTTTTCGGAAACGCTGATCCGAACAGTCTGATCATTAAGTTATTTTTTTTTAATCTTATTTCTTCCATGAAAACAATTGAAAAAAAAGTACAGCAGGTGCCATAACACAAACGAACGCCCCAAAGCTGGAAGTGCTGCTCCGAACAACACAAGCAAACAAACCTGCACTGCATGCTGAAAACGCTTATGGTGTATTGGTTTATTTCGTACAACTCCATTCCTTGAAGCTTTCTTTTCTCGGGGGGATCGTTAATAGAATAATTATACACATACACAAGTTTTTTGTATGTCAATTCTATTTGTCTTGGTAAACCCAATTAGCGAAAAAAAATTAGGCTGCTCTGCACTGAACGAACATTACTCCAAAAACTTATTTCGAACACAGCTAGGTTTGTCTAGACATCAGTGATATATAAAAAAACGAAACTGAAAGAAATTCAAACAGGAAAAATGAGCCAAATCAGATACTTAATATAATGCAATTAAAAAAATTATCTCATATTCGAATTTTCCTTTCTATGTTGTGACGAATAAAATAAAATGGTAGGAAACTGGAAACTGTACACGCCCCAGTACTCGCCTAGCTTGTCGCTTGTCGACATTTTTGACATTGACTTTTCAGGCACAGTTTTTTTACCCCTTCTACTGAACAGTAAAAAGAAAACTAGAGAACATCAAAATACTTTTCTAATTTTTGATTTCAAAAAGAACATTTTTTCAATTTGGTGAAAATGGATACTTACGAAAGTGTTTTACTGGTGAAACCAGAAGTTTACGTGTTCAATATTCCTCCCAGATATTCCAATAGAGGTTATCGGTAAGTTCCTTTCCAAATCCGCCCACTTCCTTTAAACATTGCATTCATTGCAACATTTTCTTTGAAATATGTCGCACTTTTGATGTAATTTTATTGATTCTATAATATATCCTCTTGTCTAGCTAGATAGGGTCAGTTCTGATTTTATATCAAAATATACAATGCTTATTCGAGTATTATAGTGAGGGCCAAGAAGCCAAACATAGAACATTATCATCATTGTCACTTCTTGAGGCTTGTTTCCTGCTGTGCCGCCATTACACTTCAGTGGTTCTCACTAGTAATACCAGTTGCTGGTACAGTTGTTTACTTGGCCCTAACTATTCTGAAATTTTAGTGCTGCAGATTGGAATTTAGCTGAGCCTCAATGGACTGGCAGGATGAGGCTGATATCCAAAGGCGATGAATTGGCTATCAAGCTTGAAGACAAAAACTCTGGAGAACTCTTTGCCAAGTGCCCAATCGACACATATCCAGGGGTTGCAATTGAATCAGTTACTGATTCTTCGAGATATTTTGTTTTGAGAATTATGGACGATAATGGTAAGTACTAATCATACGAATAATAGATCTTTATTTAGCAAAAACAGCTAATTCCCAAATTTTACAGAACCTTCACCATATAGGTACCTACTAGACCCTGAGATAGGAACTGTTTAGTGTCTGGCATTCTAAGGGCTGAATGTGGCTAGTTATCTGATGAGAATATGGGTGATTTTATGCCTGCTCTCTGTTCGAAAATTTGGAGAGAAAAAAAAAATAAATTACGTGAAGCATTTTTCTTTAATGATCTTAAATCGTCTGGCTTTCGAATAAAACATTGACATTGTTAAATAATTCACCCATAAAAAATGCCAGATGCTTTTCAATGGCTGGAAAAGTGGGGATGGATCTCAACTTGCAAGAGGAAAGTATAGCACTTTCCGCATTTTCTTTCTGTCTGGCAATCGAGAGAATGAAAGGTATTGTTGTAAAAACACTGAAAAATCGCCAGACAGTAATCACAATTCGAAATTGAGCAAATCCGCAAAAAGTTCTGTGGACATTTCGAACAGGGAGCAGGCATTAAAACCACTCATATTCTCATCAGCTAACTAGCCACATTCACCCCCGAGTTCACCCCTCAAAATGCCAGACAAAAAAAATTACTCCACTAAACAGTTCCTATCTCAGTTTTTGAAGGGATTCTCCAGGATGAAGTCGATTCATTTTAATTGAAACAAACAATTCTTATTACTTCATAAATTCTTTAATCAATCGCTCAACGCGTTTCGGTTAACAAACCATTATCAAGAGCTTGAGCAATCTGTAAGTAGAGAAGAAGTTTTTTAACGAAACTTCGTTATTAGGTTTTCAGTGTCTATACCACTATAAAATATGCCATATTCGCTACTACTAAACTATAACCAAAAAAAAAAACACATTCTACTTGTTCACTCACTTTTAAAACCAATTTTTTAAATAAGATTTAAATTAACTTTTGTCATAGAACACACAAATAAGCTCAGAGCTAAAGAATTTTTCATTTTATGTATGAGAATATAAGAGAGAATCATAGTTTGGTAGGTATACCAAATACTTTTCTACTGACAGCCAATTTAATGAGCGAAGCATGTTTTTAACTGATGTGTCTACAGGTATGCATAAAATTATTCTCATGGCATTATTGTGTAATATCTGCAATCTCATTGTTATTTGCCGTGAACAAGATGGTTAACGCAAATGTGAGATGAGACAAAATCAGTACAATATATACCACTTTACAAAACCACTGGGTCAAAGATTGAGTAAATTTACCAAAAAAGTTGGTGTTTCTGGAGAGTTTATCACCTTTATATTATGTTACACATGTTCCTAAATGTTAATTTCTGGTCAGTTACAACTCCAAGATACTTTTTCTTATCAACAACTTCAATATCAGTTAGTAACAGTATTTATTAGGAGTGCGCTTCTCATTGTTGAAAATATAGATATTTCACATCCGCGACTATGCTGTTTTAATAAAAACAGTTGCATCTAGTAAATTCTAACAAAAACTGTTTTTGAGAATCTACTTTTGTGCTTGTTTGACCAGTAAAATGAGAAAAATCAAAAAAAAATTCACTGGTCAAACAAGCACAAAATTATTTTGTTTTTTAGAATCTACCAGCAGCACACTGCAAAAAGTTCAGGGGCAGATAAGGGGGTATGGCCCCTGAAAAAACATCACCCTGTAGATTCTAGTAAACATTTGACCGAGCGTTTGACATGTGCAATCATTTAGCTCCTATCACTTATATTCCAAATTTGAGCTAAATCCCTCAAAAATTGCAGGAGCTATAAAAAAAAACTTAAAAAATATTGAAATTTCAACACCCTGTAGATCGGTAACGAACCATTTGCGGACCCATGTTTATATGAAATTTTAGTCATAAAATAAAACAAAGAATTACCCCCTTCCGTTTGTACATGATATTTAGGAACACTGTATATAAAAACATAATATTTCGTTTAACTAAATAATTTCCTCAAAAACAGCACTTTTTTTTCGAATGGAACCCATTTCCAATTTGGGAAAGTTCAAATTCAATGGTTGTTTGTTGTTTCCATGGTTTGCTGCAAATTTAAAAAGACATTGTTTCAGATATATTGTTTATAATAGTTATTCATGCATAAAATTAGGTCAATTTCATAGTACTTAAGTATCCCAAAGGGTACAGCTTTATTCAACACAGTCTACCTAGACCATGGTCCATTGTAGTCAATCACAAAAGACTAAAAAAGTAAATTCAATTCAATTCAAAACAAGCTTTATTGTCAAAGAATAAAAAAAAACTTATTGGCAAAGCATTTCTACATACTTAAATTAAGATTAAAACTAAGTCAGTAAAATAAATGAACATTAACATTGTAGGCACAACATAATTAATAAATTAGCGAGTAAATTAGCTCGTAAGTTAGTAAATGGTACAAAAAAACAAACAAATGACAGGCCTTAAAACTAGCATAAATACAAAAATTGAAATACTTATAACAACAGACCGCAAAAAAAATCTCAAAATTTGGAAAATATTAAAAAGGCACTAATGCAATTTGAGGTAAGAAGTTATGAAGTTATTCAATTTTTGGTGAATGTTGTACAGCAGCTATAACAGCAACAGGAACGTTGTAATTCTATATGGAAACAATCAGAAATTCATCAATTGTGTAAAAGGCATGTTGAAGTAGAATGTTCTTTAAAGGGCTGCAAAATCCTGAAATATCTGAGATGTTTCTGATAGTTGCAGGAAGGTGATTATCGAGTTTCACCCTGTTGTAGATGATTAAATTCCTCAGATGGGAAGCGGTATATCCTGCGTCTCTCGTGTGGAAAAGGTAGTTTGGTGTACAGGGAACTTCAAGGATACAAAGACAAGGCAATGTTAATAATATATTATATTTTTCAAATAAGGACCTAACGTCTTCCCTTGGAGAAACACGAGCGATAACGCGTACTGCTCGCTTTTGGAGTTTTAACACTGATTGAAACAGGTATTGGCTACAACAGCCCCAAAAAGGTAGTCCATAGGAAAGGTGAGATTGTATTAATGCAAAATAAACTGATTTTGCTATGGTTGCATCCAAATTTGTGGCTACAGCTCTGACACAGTAGCAACCAGAAGCAAGTTTCTTGTTAAGTGTAGTGATATGCGACTGGACTTTGAGATCGACGTCAAGTTGAAGTCCAAGAAATTTGGTACTTAGAGAGGATTTGATGGAGAGGAGAACTGACCACAATCAAAATCATCAACCTTGCAAAGGCGGGCCGGGCCATGAGAATAGTAGGATCAAAATATAGAGATGATTGTAATTTGTAAACAAGCTTTTTTATTGACTTCAGAGTTTTGACTCTCCCAGGTGAATACATCTTACAGTACTTAATGTATCTCAAGGAGTCAAGGGTCATCATGACCGATTTGTCCAGCATAGTGATGTCCATGACCATGACACAAGAAATAAAAACAACCTACAGCCTATGTACCATCGTTTACATAGGTGTCAAAATGGCCCAAATTTCTTCAATAAAATACTAGAACTCCTAAAAAATCTTAGTAGAATCCAGTTTAAGAGGAAAGTTAAAGACTTATAAATTGAAAATGCATTTTATTCAATAGAAGAATTCGACAACTCCACACTTGTTTGGGTAGGAAATTAATTAACATAATAAATAAAGTGATTTGCTCCAAACCATGTTGAATAGCAAAACGCAGCTACAGTTCAATGTCGAACCAAGCTTATGAAATAGGAAAACACCTTCATATATGATTTGAGAATAGGGTAGCGGCCATGTCATGTACTACCGCAAACTACCGCCAAATTTAAATGAATTTCAAATTCTAAGCAAATTTATTTTTAGTCTCTTTCATTCAGAGTGGAAAGCTACATGAGTAGGTACCTATATTATGTGTGTATGAATGTGACATGTGAGTGTTTTTTTTTCTGGAATTTCGTAGCAGATCGAGATTTAAAAAAAAAATATATTGAAGCAGAAACAAAAATCAAATTAAATATAGTTTTTCTGTTATTTTGTACGGCATAAGTATATAATAATAATGCTAATCTTTGTATTCTGTTTCATGTATTTCAATGTGTAAATTTTAGACTATTTTAGATTTTGTTGTACCACTAGGTTTTGACATGTGTAAACACTCTGTGTGATAACACGAATAAATGATTTGATTTGAAACAATAATGGCCCCGCAAGTGGGCAATCCGTGGTGAGAAACTATATTTTCAATTTGTAACGATATAGACTAGAATAATGATTAATAATTTTCATACTAGCCATCGAATCCATTTTAAATTGTTGTATCGTCTTTGTCCTTTGAGTTTTTGTGGGGTGATTTTGAAATTGTGGGTACTTTTTGTTTAATTTATTATATTTTATACACGATCGACTCATATAAATGATGCTGTGCAATTCACGACTCTGGCTTCTAGCAAATGACTTGTAATTTGAATCGTAAGTTATTTGACTCTCCACTTTGTGGGATTTTTTATGATACTCTTGTAGCGTTTGTAATAAGCAAATTTTTCATTTTTTTTTACATATATTTTAACTCTTATAGATCCCGAAACTAGTAGCTTAACAATGAATAAAGGATTGTGAGATTTTCGACTTTCCCTCATTTTTTCCACCCCTTAAAAAAAATGAACTCACATTTGTCTTCAGTAAACCATTTATGTTTTCATTTCATTCATAAATTTTCTAAAAAATACTGCCCTTTTTTGGGACTAACTGATAGCACTAATAATAGTTGTAAGTTTTTGCCAGGCTATTCCAACGACTAGCATGCCTATGTACCCACAGCTAATGTCACCAATTTTAATTTGTTTTTTTTTTCAATTTCAGGTAGGACAGCTTATATTGGCATTGGATTTGGTGATAGATCTGACTCTTTTGACTTGAACGTGTCCCTTCAAGACCATTTTAAATGGGTGAAAAAAGAAAAACAAATTAGCGAAGAACCCACCAGTGGTCCCAGTTTAGACCTTGGGTTCAAGGAAGGCGAAACCATTAAGATCAACATGAAAATTACGGTGAGTATAGAACCCACATACAAAACACTGCCAAATTAATACATACTATAAATTGTACTTACATAAACTAAACGGCAGATGAAGTGGGACACATGAAAAATTGCCTAATTTTGGCTTGCTATAACTTCGACATTTATTTGTCGATCTTGGATTTTCAGCCAGTGTTAGAAAGCACGATCCTTGTTCTATGCGTCAGTGTTTTCGGATATTTTTGTTTGGTGGGTGTTAACGTAATTGCGCGATAAGAGAGATTTCTGACTTATTTAGTGTTACTGAATCATCAGTGGGAAGAGTGTTGCAAAGAGAAGCTAACAACAGTACTGCTGCGGTGGAGGATCTCAAAAATGAACAAATCCTCGTCGGGATCGACTAGTAGTTTGGACTGCCATGAGAATCCGGGCGCATCTGCAGTTGAATGTTTCAGCAGACACTATTAGAAGGCGCCTACATGACCCTGGATTAAATGCTCGCCGTCGGGCAAAGTGCCCACTTTTCACAAACATTCAGCGGGTGAACAGAAGAAGATGGGCCCAGGAATACCTGAATTGGGATTTTAGGTGGAGAGTCCGTCTTTTCTTGTTGATCAATAGCTTCTCAACCTCCACAATTTCGACAGCCGATTGCTATCTTGGCGGAGACGGGGAGAACGTTTTTTAGAAGAAAACATGCGTCCCCAGCTTGCATCCATTCAACACAACGGTATAGCGGAGAATTTTTTCTTGTAGACGATAATGCTCGGTCTCATCGAGCACCGGTATCTGCAAGAGGAAAATCTCAAGCGTACCGAATTGCCTCCTAGATCCTCAGACATGAATCTGATTGAGCTCGTCTGGAGCTGAATGAAGTTGGAGCTTTTCCGGAAAGAACGTCAGCTAGAAACTCTTAACGATCTCGAGAAAATGATTCTGGAGCTCTGGGAGTCATTTCCTATGGAGCTAATTAACCACTTAATTTCGAGCATGCCAAGGCGTTGTCTGGCAGTTATTCAGGCTAGAGGAGGACCAACCCCTTACTTAATAAGGATAGTTAATTATTGTATGAACCTTTTAGGAGAAAATGCTAAATAAAGTCTGAAAAAATGAAAAAAGTGTTTTTTTTTTTACTGGACGTCTTTGAATATCAAAATCAAATTCATCACAGTTATTTATAACACCTTCCGAACTGTAACGCTCAACAAAACCGTTAAAAATTTCAGATAAAATCGTTTTAATTTCATAAACCCTCCTTTGCAAGCCTCTGGTGTTGACCATTTTCTTTACAAGTCATTCCTTGATGCAATTCAGACGGAATCTGTTATTGTTCAATTAAAGAAAAGCTAATTTTGGGAGAAAAACGGAATTAGAATGGTCATATTTCCATAGCAACGCAATGTACCTATCCAAAAAAGATGTCCCGAGGTGTTGACCTAGTGATCCACTCACTATCAGAAAGAACTCTATTGGACCTAAGGCTTCGCAAGACCAAGACCAAGACTGGCCAGCTAATTTCACATTCATATTTTCATAATAAGTTACATATTAAATTGCTAAAAAGAAAGGAAAGACTCTCTCTCGAGCCTCTTGTCTTGGTCTTGGTCTTAAACATCAAGTCTTGATCTTAAGAAGCTTTATTAGGTCTTGGTCTAGCTACCAAGACCAAGACTAGTCTTGTGATCTCGCGAAACCCTAGCTGTCAGGTGTCTAAAACAATTCTAAAGAAATTGAAGGACTATTTTGGTTCCCCTGAAGATGAAATGCCATGGCAATACAAATATTTATATATAAAGTATCATGAAAAATAAAATGTTTATGATTTTACACTTTATTATACAGGGTGTTAATAAATAGTGAGATCAAACTTCAAGGATAAATAGTACTCATTAAAATAAGAAAAACGTTAATAGAAACATAGGTGTCAAAGTTTGAAAAAAATCGTTTTTTTAGCTCAAAAATCCCTTTTCCAATTTTCTTATTCAAATTTTGTAGGTTTGTTTGTGATAACAAAAGGTATCTTTTGAGTTTTGACTGTAATATGACTTAATCTGCAAAAATATCAAAGTTATAAAAAAATAGTGACATGCCTTTTTTTCTACTTTTACCAACGTAGTTGTCCTCTGGGGCGCCATTGGAATAATTACGGTAAATCTAATTGAATCAAAAGATACCCTTTGTTATTATTACAAACAAATCTACCAAGTTTGAAGAAATTCAGGAAACGGATTTTTAAAAACCGATTTTTTCAAACTTTGACACCCTGTATCTCGAAAACTAAGCATTTGCGGACCTATGTTTCCATCAACTCTATTCTTATTTGAATGAATACTATTTACCCTAGAAGTTTGATCCCACTATTTATTAACACCCTGTATAACTTATTATGAAAATATGAATGTGAAATTAAGCCTTTAAGCTTAACTTAGGAGATTATATTATCCTCTTAGCCTTTGAGCTACTATAAATTTTGGATAATTGGACAAAGTGCTCTTATACATTCCATTTGTTCCTTATTGTTCATCTTTTTTTTATACTTTCTTCCTCTTTTTGTTCTTCAACATATCTTACATCACCTTTCTTCATTTTGAATACTTGTGTAGTAAGTAGTTCCCTTTTTTTTCCACATCGTTTGCATGAACACATATTTACATTCACCAATCTTTCCACCAGCTTTCCCAAGAGCTTGTTATTTGGCTGGCTAGAATTTCCAAATTTTCCATACCATATATAGATATTTCTTTTATACTCTCTTAGTGAAATTAACTTCTCTCGCTTGCATTTCTTTGGACTATTTTTCCAGAAGCTCCAAACTAATTGCTAATTTTGATGCTTCCCAGAAATTCCGATTTTTGAATAAAATATTTTTGAACTTTTTCAGTTATTAATCCTGCTACAGATCTTGATTAAACAACTACTATTAAATATCCATCAGATATTTCTATAGTAGGTACCCAATTCTACAACTAATTCGAATTTTTCCAAGATAAATGAATTAATTTAACGACCGCCTCCCAATCCTGCACATAAAAATCGTACGTTGCTTGGAGGAAAATTAATTCACTCTATGCATGCGAATGCCAGGTAATACTTTGTTGTACTTAGAGGTCCGTATTACGGAACGCGATTGGTAATGTGTAATTGTCAAAACCTGATGTCACTGCCAATACTTTTGAAAATAATTTCCAGTTTGTCTCAATAAGTGCTCCTTTGATCAAAGGATAACATGGAAAAAGTACCAGAGCAACCAGATCAGTATCAGTGAAATTGACAATGATTCGACTTGGATTCAGTGCGATACTTGTACACGGTGGTGGCATCAGGACTGCACGCAGTATCCAGGATCTGGTGAATTTCTATGCGAAATATGTCGGTTCTAATCTTTGGATATTGTTTTCGTTTTGATTTTTTTATGTTGGTTTATTTTTGTGATAAATGATAAATTGTAGGTACGCATTTTAAGACGCACCATTGGGTATTCTACTTTTGAGTAGACACCAATATCCATACTCGTTTTTTATATAAAATGTAATAAACGAATTTTTATCAGTAAAAAAACGTTTTTTTATTATTTATTGTGTAGGAAATCCTGCAAACTGGGTACTCAGGTTCTAAGGTCTATGATATTTTAACTAATCTTGCTATGCCAAAGAAGCAGAAAATCTTACTTTGGACGACATCGAAAAACTGTTGGCAGGCTACTTTCAATTTGCAAACTTAGAAATAGTTGAGGAATTTCAGTTTTCAGAGGGGGATCGAACATAAATGACTATGCGTTTTTGCTTTAAAGAATGGAAATACTCTCTCTCGAGGCTCTCGTCTTGGTCTTGGTATTGAACCTCAAGTCTTGGTCTTGAGAAGCTTTATTAGGTAGCTCTTCATCTTGCTACCAAGATCAGGACTAGTTTTGTGGTCTCGCGCAGCCCTAGCTGTCAGGTGTCTAAAATAATTTTAAAGGAATTGAAGGACTGTTTTGGTTCCCCTGAATATGAAATGCCATGGCAATACAAATATTTATATGTAAAGTATCATGAAAAATAAAATGTTTATGACTTTACACTTCAATATGTAACTTATTATGAAAATATGATGTGAAGTTAAGCCTTTAAGCTTACCTTAGCAGATTATATTATCCTCTTAGCATTTGAGCATTTGCAGCTAATATAAATTTTGGATAAGTGAACAAAGTGCTCTTATACATTCCATTTGTTCATTATTGTTCACCTTTTTTTTATACCTTCTTCCTCTTCTTGTTCTTTAACATATCTTACATCACCTTTCTTCATTTTGAATACTTGTGTAGTAAGTAGTTCGCTTTTTTTTCCACATCGTTTGCATGAACATATATTTACATTCACCAATCTTTTCACCAGCTTTCCCAAGAGCTTTTTTTTTGGCTGGCTCATACCATATAGGTATTTCTTTTATACTCTCCTAGTGAAATTAACTTCTTTCGTTTGCATTTCTTTGGACTATTTTTCCTGAAGCTCCAGACTAATTGCTAATTTTGATGCTTCCCAGAAATTCCGATTTTTGAATAAATATTTTTGAGCTTTTTCACTCATCCTGCTACAAATCTGTCTCTTAGAGCTTCTTGAAGAAAATTTCAAAATTTTTAGAACAATTCCATTCAAAAAAAGCATAGTCATTTATGTTCGATCTCCTTCTGGAAACTGAAATTCCTCAACTATTTCTAAGTTTGCAAATTGGAAGTAGCCTGCCAACAGTTTTTCGATTTCGTTCAAAGTAAGATTTTCTGCTTCTTTGGCATAGCAAGATTAGTTAAAATATCATAGACCTTAGAACCTGAGGGCTGAGTACCCAGTTTGCAGGATTTCCTACACAATAAATAATAAAAAAACGTTTTTTTTTTTACTGATAAAAATGCGTTTATTACATTTTATATAAAAAACGAGTATGGATATTGGTGTCTACTCAAAAGTAGAATACCCAATGGTGCGTCTGAAAATGCATACCTACATTCTATCATTAATCACAAAAATAAACTAACATAAAAAAAAATAAAACGAA